TGTTACAGGTGCTGGTCCACGACAATGCTGCCTGGGCTGTGATCTGTCCCCGTAAGCACACCTAGAAGGCTGGGGCCTGTGGCCTCAGAAGGTGCAGATGCTCAGAGCTGAGGGCAGCAGTGGGCCAGACCCTGGGCTGCAGACTTCAGCCGAGTGTGCGACAGCACGACAGGAGACACGGAGGTTTGCCAACAGCCCCAGGCTGAAGTGGCCTGTTTTGTGGTCTAGTTTGTTAGTTCTTTAAAGGCTTTGAAAGTGGCTTACAGAAATCTTAAAATGCACCTCCCAGCCCTCTGGCGGAAGGGGCTAATTGGCATCAATGGTCATGTACCCCTTTCACTAGAATTAAAGGATCCTCAGCGCGAGCAGGTGGTGGTGGTGAAGACCCTGGATTCTCACACGGCTGACCGTGGTTCAAGTCCTGGAGCTGGCGGCTCAATTTCCTTTTCTCTTTCTCTCTGATCAAATTAAAAAATAATAATAACAAATAAAATTAAATAAATAATTCTTAAAAAAAAAAAAAAAGGGAAAGAAATAATTAAACAATCCTTGGGCCAGCTAGTGGGATGGAAGTGAAGGTGGCTGGCCCCACACGGCTGACTGTGTGGTTCAAATCCTGGACTGGCAGCTTGAAAATCATGCCAGGCTCATGTGTGTGCATGCCCCAAATCCCGAGAGAAGGGATTGCACGGGGAGCATCCCCCTGGGGAGTGATTCCTTACCCACCCCCAGCTCTCTCCTGAGTACACAGTAGTGGTGGAAACTAAAGGAAATAAAATAGGAGGAAAACAAAAGCAAAAAAAGAATCCTCAGTTATAGACGCCGAGCCCCGCATGGGACACTCTGGCCAGGGCCTCCCCTCTCCATCTCCACGTCTGTTTCTCATCATAAGAACTTCCTGGGGACCTTGAGACGAGCCTAGTGAGCGAAGTCTAGCGCCTGGTTTGTAGCTGTGGAAATGAGCAGATCGTTCTAAGCTTCCTTTGCCTTTGAAATTCAGCACGAGCTGCTTTCCCCAGAGGAATTCCTCCTCTGGTCACATTCGGTCCTGGGGAGGAGTAAGACTGAGTTTGTACATGGGCGGTGAGTGCCCAGGCTCTGGTGGCCTGAGCTGTGGCTCAGAGGCACATTCCAGGGCGCAGAGTGGGGACCAGGCTCTGGTGGCCTGAGCTGTGGCTCAGAGGCACATTCCAGGGTGCAGAGTGGGGACCAGGCTGAGGACCTAATCCTGACAGCAAGCACAGCCACGCCGGTGCTCGAGGCTGGCCCGGCGACATCTGACAGGCAGACCGGCCAGCGCCCCACTGCCACGAGCAGGCAGGCGTCACTATGGCGTCCTGGGTCAGAAGTGCTCGAAGAGATCTCCAGGGTCCTTCTCTGTGCGGGACTGAGCCTCCCAGGACAATGTCTGCAGGAAAGGAGAAAAGCCTGGCAGAGAAGGAACAGCACACTGCACAGCTCCGCGGTCTGGAGCTGCGTGTCACCCCGGAGAGGGCGGGTTGACTTGCGGGCAGGAGGGGGTACACTTG